CTTTACTGAGTCACAGTCAGTGTATACAGCCTGTATAATTTCTACGCTGAGGGGGATTTCTTTTTGAGCACTTTAAAACATAGTCCAATTTTGTGAATACTGCATATACGTTTTTAAAGCTTAACTTCATTTGAAAGTCTTTTCTATTTTCTGCTTTTGTTAACTGCATTAGCACTAGTTTTGAGTTTCTCTTTCTAGCTGAAATGTCATTCATTCATTCATTCATTGGCGCTAGGGCTTGAACCCAAGGTCTCTCATGTGCTAAGCATTCACTCTCTCACTGAACTATGTTCCTAGCCTGAAATGTCAACTTCAGAAAAGAGTACTTAAGTCAATTATGATTGTAAGTTTCTCATTTTTCCTTGTACTATATTTCTATCAATTTTAGATGAATATATATGCTTCATACTGAGTCATGACTTGTATCTTTTGGACCAGTATACCTTATACCAAGATAAAGCACATTTGCTTCTCATATAATTCTCTTCAAATTGGATTCCACTTTAAGTATTTGCCTAGTATATCTTTTTCCATTCTTCTGTTTTAAACTGTTTGGTGATATTTTATTTTACATGTCTTATAAATAACTTTCAGCTGGATTTTGACTTATTTTTAATCCAAAGAGTCTCTGTCTTTAGCAGGTGACTTTAATGCACTCAGTATTCACTGTGATTATTGATGTGTTTACATCTAGACTCCTATCCTATATGTCATTCAGCTCTAGTCATGGTGTATTTTTCTTTCCTTACACACTCTTAACTAGGTCCTGCTTCAGTCACTGTATTGCTCTCTCTACCTTCCTATGGCTTGCTGTCCTTACTTGCTCCTGTCTTAGCTGAATGTCTTGTCTCTCCACAGGCCTCCCTCGTATCTCTTCACTGTGCTTTTTAAAACTAGCCATTATCACCACAACATATTTACTGGATTACTTAATGTCTGTTTTCCTCCCCATAAACTGTTAAAAGCATGGGCCTTGTCTGTCTTGCTAACCACCGCTGGCATGCAACTTATCTTAAACTTAAGTATTATAAGTTATTTTTGGAAGATTCATGAGCCAAACTGGATTTAAGTTTATAGCTTTCTGTGGCATTAGGAATGGGCAAAATGAGATGTTCTGAATTCTCATAAAAGTAGTATCATATTCTAACAATGTGATCTGTTTACTGAATATGAAGTCAATTTTAGGGAATATTGTATTTTTAAGCATCTTTTTCACTTTTAAACACTAGGGGAATATGAGTTTTTGTTTTTTCAACTTGGGAAATAAGGCAATTCAATTTTAGAAACAGGACAAGTATTCAGTTTCAGATGAAAATGAGTTTTTTTTTTTTCTTGGTCAGTATCAAATCCTGCCACTCTGATTAAATTATTTCCTATTTGCCATTTTGGGCAAAAAGTTCATTTCAAAATAGCAACTGCCTTCATAGGAGGAAAAAAGAGTATCTGTTTTCATAGTTAAATACTGCTTGTCTGGAATTAGAAAATCTTTTCTATGAAACTGTTCAGGGAATATGCTAGTTTGTCTGACACACACTCTCATTAATTTTAGGGAGATTATTTAGAACTTTCTCCAGTGGATGAGTTCTTTCTTTGCCAGTGTGATTTACAGACATACATTTTCCATATTTTTGTACTTCAGGAGACTCAAAAGAAGTAAAAAATAAATTTAAAAATCATACAATATTAAGAAATATTTCTGAATACCTACAGTACCTAGCGGGAAAGAAGAAACTTGTATGAAAACAGACTACATTCTAAAAACCTTTTGGATAGACTTTCATGGGTTAGAGTCACCAGGTAGGCAGATAAAAATACCCCTAGATGCCTTTTCCAGAGAGTCTAATTCAGTAGGCCTGGGACAGGGTGTGAGAAACTGTGTTTTCCACAGGTTTCTAGGAGATGGTCTGGGGGCCACTCTGAGGACTGTTCTTTTAGACTATCATTTACATACTTGTATTGGGATCAAGGTGAGAACTGTATATCAAGAATATCAAGGCATCAGAGGCAGTTTTCATTTGTTCTCTGGCATTTTTTGATGTAGCAGTTCCTGTATACCCACCCCACTTCAAGTTTTTTTCCATTGTTTAGCTTGAAATGCTCTTAAAACATTAAAAAATAAGTTGTCTTTAAATTCTGAAAAAAAAAAAAAAAAAAAAAAAAAGAGTTCTACATATCTGCATGGGTTGGCTCAGGCATATATAAGTCCAAATGATCTGGAGCAAGAGTCCTAATGTCAAAAGTCTCTAGGTGAGAGATAGGCCAGGCAGTAAGTGGAGCAGGCCAGGTAATGTGGAGGATTGGAGAGGCCATGCTAAAGAGGGAAGATGCTACTCAGCTGCAGCCAACCATCATCCAACAAGGTAGGTCTATTATAGCCAGAACTCCCACATTTTCAAGATAAACTGGAGATCCAACATTTCATGCAAAATCTCTCAAGTTTTAAATATAGGCAACTCATTTTAAAAAATCTAAACACTGTATACAACACACAGAAAGGTCTGTGGGCTAGATGATGCCAGTTTATGGCCTCTAGGTTAGAAGACAGTCTCAGAAGGAATACAAGTTGGGCAATGTGCTAAACTATTCATTTGCTTATGGACCACTTCCTGTAGCAATCACCTACTTCCAAAATTAAAAGCCCTTCTAAAGACCAACAAAAGAAAGCACCCTTTTATAAGCAGCTTTCCCATCAAAGCAAGTTCTGTGCAAATGATCTTACTATGGGACAACTGTGGGAAAGACAAATGAATTCTTCATAACCTGCAACTATTGATCTAAGAATAATCAGTAGCATAATGTGACTAGGATTTCAGGATAATTAACTCTTATAATACTTTTTTTAAAAAAGGAAGAAGAAAAGAAAGCTAGACCTAGGAGGACAGACTTGAGAATTCCTAAACATTCTATCAAACCTGATGATGTGATCTGTTATAAATTATTTAAACATCTTTGCCTAAAAATTCACTAAACTGAGAAAATCACATTTTACAACTACACAGGCGACGAAGAATAGCAAGCACAATAATCCAAATCTTGTAAGTCTACTCTCATTAACAGTAACATCCCAGGGCACCATATTAAGGACTTTTAGCCAGGTGTAGTGGCACATAACCTATAATCTGAGCTACTCAAGAGGCTGAAGCAGTAGGACTACAAATTTAAGGCTAGCCTGGGCAACTTATCTAGATCCTATCTAATAAAATGACTAAATGCATGCAGTGACTGTGGCTCAGTGGTATACTTGCTTAGTATGCATGTGACCCTGGTTCAATCCCCAGAACCACAAAAGAAAAAAAAAAAAAAAAAAGACTTCCAAAGCCAAATCCTGACTTAGTGGAAGAGATGAATGCCAAAGACCTGAAGGAGGAATGATAGTGGATATGCTCTTTATCTGGCCTCTTTTATATAGTAGATAAAAACACAGGACCTATGTTTGGAAAATCTATAGTCCATATATACTATATTAACACAGTAACTTGAAAAAAACTTAAAAGATATAAATAAGATTAAGTCACCTCAAAAAAAAAAAAAAAAAAAAAAGATTAAGTCACCTCATGCCAGTGGTTTTCTACTCCACTCAGAGAAAAAGCTAGACTCATTATTACACAAAAAACCCTGCGCTGTCTGGCTTCCCATTATATTCTGATCTCATTTCCTGCTACATTCTCCTGATGCCATTCCAGGCATATCAAACCTTGAGATCTTTGTATCTGCTATTCCCACTGCCTAGAAAGCTCTTCCGTAGGATGTGTACAGTTCACAACTTTATCCTCTTACCAATGAGGACTTCCTTGACTACTCTATTTTAAAAAGCCACCCCTCCTCTTAGCCTCCTTTTGCTTTATATATATCATTTTCCACAATATTTAACACTACCTGATAACTAAATATTTTGCTTATTTTTCTTCTACAATGAAACCTCCACAAGGGATGGGGTTTTAGCCATTTCATTTACTTCTTTTTCCCTAGGATAGTGTCAAGCATGTAAAAGCCCTAAAAACACACTAACTAAAGAGACATCGGAGCAAATAGATGATAGAGTAAATGAACGTGGGTTCTAACACTGGTCCAGTGACTAATCAGTTAAATAAACTCATGTGAGTCATTTTGGTCCTCAAAAGATCTCTATCTTTCGTTGTATAACCTATGATATTTTACAAAACTACAAATTAAGTCACAGAAGAGTGACTTCACTTCCTCTAGGCCAGCCAGAAGGACAGTGGAAAGCCAAGGCTAAAAAGGCCTCATGTTCCAATCCAATACCCAAACCAAGCCCTTTTAGAAACAATAACTGAATTGTGACAGCTGAAAACCAAACTTCAGAATGGAAGCATGTAAAAATAAAAAATTCCTGGGGAAAAAATCTTTTCCAGAAGTATTTACAAAAGGAATATGAACTCTCCAGCTTACTTTTTAAAAAAATTTTATTGCCTCTACTCATTAAGTCCCTGTGAAAATTACGAAGTATCTGAAGTTGAAGGAGAATGTTCCACAGCACAAAAAGGAAAAACATACTCAGTTTTTCATAGGAAACTTTGGAATAATTTAATATTCGCCCTTTAAAAAGACTCCACATAATCTTCAGCCTAAAATTAAGAGACTGATTAGCAAAAGAACAAAGACACAAGGATCAACTCCCCTTCAATCTAACGCTTAAGTATAAAATCACCATTGCAAATAAACTATTTAAGACAAATGCATCTTCACTTGATGACTATTTCTTTTACCACTATCAATTTCAAATTAGACAAACAGAAAAATGGCAATAAAGGATTTATAAAGCAAAAATATGTCATGAATCAGGGAACTCAGAAGTGCTCAAGTATCAGTAAAATGTCTGAAACTCACGAGGGCCTTGGCCCACAGCTGCTGCAGAGGTTAACAGAAGACTCAAACTGTGCAAGAAAATCCTAAATGCTTAGGGCAGAATAGCACGTGCCACAGAGATGTCCAATGACTTCCCCCAGAAGGTATAATCATTTAACTTCAACATTACTCACAAACTCATAGTCTCCATCCTGTGGTACTTTCCAGTCTGAAGAATTTTTCAGTGGGCCAGGTACACTCTTGCCAAAGCTGTTGATCTGATTTTCCTTTTCTTTTTGTTCAAAATATTCAAGAAAAGATGGTTTTGCAGGCTGCATGGTCTCATCCCTTCCTAAAATATAAGAAAATTAAAGATAAAAGGGAATAGTCCTATATTTTAGGTAAGGTAGTAAACAGATCTCCAGATAAGTGATGGTCTTTGGATCAATGCAATGAGTCTTTTGGTTAGCAAAGGACTCCTTCAAACCCCTAATGAAAGAAAAGAAAAATACACATATTCTCACTAAAATATTTCCCATAGAATTCAAGACCCCTCTACAATATAAATAAACACATATACAAAGATGCCCCCAGGGTCTCTTTTTCTAGCTAGATTTGGACCCTGTAGTAATTCTGGGTAAGTTGCAAACAGTACATTTTGGAAGCCCCTCAGCAAATATTCCTATAACTTCCAAAGGGAAAAACACACAGCAAGCAAAAATATTTATTTAGTACCCACTATATACAAAATTCTCTACAGGCATTGTAGTAGGTAGGGGGATGACAGGTTGATTTTTCTCAATAAACTCATAATCCAATTGGAATGAGAGACATAATGCAAACAAAAGACATAAACTACAACCCATCCAACTCGTTTATAATTGAGTTAAGGGAGAAAATAAGATACAGTATTATACATACACACACACAATATTCTCAATGGTGTAAAATCATATAAGGAAAGAAAAAAATTGGAAAAGAAATACCAAATGTTAACAGGATTTGTCTCTGGTCATCGGGCTACAGGTGACTTTATTTACTTCCTGTAAATATATTTTTTAAAAAGACAGTGCTGGATATAATTAATGAGTAAAACTGATTTGCTGCTACATATGCTCATAAAATCTTAGAAGGGGGTGGTTAAGAAAGACTTGGAGGGGAGGACTTAGGTGGTGTCTCAAGGGACCACAGAGAATAAAATCAGCAGTTATGCAACAGCAGTTACTAGATAAGCACACAATATAGCAGCCGCTAGTTAGTAGTAACAACGGCAAAAAAGAATGATTCACCTGGCATGATCTCAAACTCTAGCTAGCTGAATGTACCAACTTCATAATTTGTGCCTGTGATCAGTAATCTAATATGGAGAAATATAGGAAGTGGGGGCTGGGGATTTAGCTCAGCGGCACAGCCCCTGCTTGGCAAGTGCAAAGTCGTGAGTTCGATTCCTGCTACCAGAAAAAAAAAAATCCAAAAAAACAAACAAAAAAGAAATATAGGAAGTGTTCTGTGTTTTCTGTGAACATGGTAATCCTACATAGCCACTTCCCACAATAACCAGGACAAAGGACCAGAAGGCTCAGAGCCTTGGATTCCAGTGGGGTAGGAGGATCTGGAAGATCCATCCACCTCAGCCTCCCAAATTGCTGGGGTTACAGGTATGTGTTACAGACCTAGTTTATTTAGTTTTTAAGTTAAATTTCAGGTATTAGTTCATACCATAGTTCTCCAGGAACTACAACAAAATAAAATGTGTAAAAATAGTGGTGCTTTAGATTAGCTGAGCAGTGAGGAAGCTCTAAACTTTTGCTTGGTCCCTTCTTTAGGAACTACCACAGGAGAGGTGATTACTGGCTCTGAGACAAATCTGCAGCAATCCTACACATAACCCTACACATTTAAAAAAAAAAAAAAAGAGTGTTAGGTCTAAGCATGTGCTCAATGGGAGACCTTGGGTGTGATCCCCAGCACTGGGGGAAAAAATGTTCAAAGAACTTCCTACGGCCATACAATCTTAACAAATACTATGTCAGTGGATCACTGACACATTTAGAACATAGTATATTTTCATACAAAATATACTGACTAGATATACCAACCAACTGAACACAGAGTAGAAAACCTAGAAACAAAACAGAAGTTCAAACAGCTATCCAAACAACTGACCTGCCATTTGTGAAAAGATTACATTGGATCTGTATTTCATACTTTACGCCAAGAAAACTCCAAATGGTTAAAAGCTTTAACTGTAAAAATGGAAATCAAAAATACTCAAAAACATGTAAATGCATTTAAAATCTATGTGTGGAATATGCTTTCTAACTGTGACAAAAATTCAGATGCAATGCAAAAAGAAAAAAGATAAAAAACGTGTGTGAAGAAAACATCACAAATTTTTAAAAAATTAATAATCATATAGAAACTATAAACCAAACAAGAAGATAATAAAGAGAAAGAAAATATTTGAAAATTTTAAGAGTTCTTTATGTATTAGGGAGATAAGTTACCAATACGTTTTTTTAAAAAATATTCGTTTTTTTGGAGACAGGGTCATCTTATATAGCTCAGGCTGGCTTAGAACTCATGATCCTCCTGCCTTGATCTCCCAAGTGCTGAGACTACAGGTCTGAGTCATCCATTACACCTGGCTAGAATCTTTTTTTTTTTTTTTTTTTTTAGCTAGAATTTTTAAATCAGGGAAAAGATTAAAAATGGTAGAAAAATGGAATAAAGACTTGAAAAGATAATACACACGCAAAGTTTTCCAATTGTCCTTACATGTGGAAAAAGAAATGTTTAGATTCACTCATAATAAGAGAAACTGTGAAACTACTTAGAAATACTGTATCTTACATTTCAGACTGGCAAAAATTCAAATGCAGGACAACACTGTCTGTGTTGGTAAGGCCATACATGACTCAATTGGAATGCACAACTGAAATCCTCAAGAAGGGGATCTGGCACTTAGTATCAAAACATTAAACCAGGGAAGGCACAGAAGACCTTGTGGTGTTGTATTGAACTTGAGGGCTTAATAGGAACCTTTTTAAAAAGAAAATTTCTAAAAAGGAGATTTCCAAGTTTTTTTTTATTAAAAGGCCTTGGAGCAAGGACACCTCAGCACCAATGAGCACACCTAGCACTCCGATCTATATCTCCAAATACCATCTTTTGCTAGAGAAGTACGGCCTCTTAAGAGAAACAGCTGATTTCGGGTCTAGAGAAAGAAAACTGCCAAGTGGGCCTAGAGCATCTTTTTGCACCAAAAAAGCAAGAAAGCAAGCAAGCACTCAAAAACGGATGGGGATATATAAAAAAAGATGTGAGAGGTACCTGAAGTGACCCCCACGAGTCCATTTTGGAATACTTTAAACATTAATAGAACACAGTAAGAATTCTCTTCTTTAGAAAAAACACCATTTGACAAGTGTATCATGATAGCAAACATATATACATTTTTTCCTAGGAAATACACATCAGATAGAATGTCTCCTTCTTTGGAAATAGACGCAAGCTGCATATATCATTGTACCTATTTTTCCATCCATCCATCTATCTTTGTATACACATAGAGAAATGTGGAATGACTAAAAAACGTCAATAAAAATAGCAATTCTAGATAGAACTTGTAATTTAAGGTAGTTCAAGATTTTCTCTCACATGGAATAAGCAACATATCCAAACAATAAAACAATATATTTCTGTGGCACTTCATTAACTCCTTTCAGTTGCAATACAAGTCAACTTTATAAGTTAAATCTTTAAATCAAGGATGAAACACTAAAATAACATTTCTGTCATCTAACTCTAAACCAGGCCATAAAAATCAAGGAAATGTCAGCTAAGCTAGAGCATAATCATGTGTCTAGATGAAAAGGTGAGAACATTTACCATCTTCATATTTGAATTCTCTTAATTTATGATGACAAATCTTCTAACTTAAAGATCTCTAATACTGTTGGAGGTAAAACACCAACTATTTTTTTTTTCCCTTTTGTTTTTTTTTGAGACAGGGTCTTGCTATGTAGTTCAGGTTGGCCTTAACTCACTATGTGGCCCAGACTGGCCTCAAAATCAAGGCGATTCTCCTGCCACAACTTCCCAAATGCTGGGATTACAGGTGTGTACCACCATTCCAGGCACTATTCTTGTCTTACCACTGGTAGTCATAAATAAAAAACTCCATCTAAAATGTCTTTTGCTTTCATCTTTTGATATCAATACCAGGGACCAGATTACATCTGATATTTATTAGAATTCAATGTTTCACAACTAGAGTGCGTCTTGTAATTAGAGAAGTTTTTAATTTAATCATGTATTCAGACCTAAGCTAGAGAAGTAAAATTCACAATTTCTTAGAAATTTTATTATAGCAAAATGATTAATTAAAAGATTATATATATCACATTACTAAAAAGCTAAATTTGATTTTAGAAACAGCACAACAGAAAAGTTCCTATCCTGGGATTTTACATTATATATGTTTTACTATGATTTTCTAAAAAATGGAATAAAAAACTCCTGCCCTGAAGCTCTGGGATTTAGATTCTAGTCCTGACTGTATGTTCTTGGGAAACCCGCTGGTTCCCAATCTGTAACGAAGTGTACACTGGACCAGATTATTTTTACTGTCTTTTGTAGCTTTTAAAGTTACATGATTCTAACTGATAGTCACATCTAAAAGCAAATTTGTGCCCCCACTATCAGTAACTATTCAAAAGGAGTTTTTCTCTCCACAGGGATTATGATACTTAATTGTTTCTCATCTAAAATATGCTACAAACTAGATGTATGCGGCACACAGCAAAGTCCAGACCAAACTGAAAAATAGGCCTCAACAAATATTTTAGTGACAAGACTGCCTCTAATTTGGGGTTTTTTGTTATTGTGTTGGCTTGGGGTCTTTTTGTTTTGCAGTGCTGGAGACTGAACCCAGAACCTCACACATGCTAAGCATTTCTTCTATTGCTGAACTACATTCCCAGGCCTGCTTTGTTGCCTTTGTAACAGGCAGAGGAGGAGACCAAATTTTCCTTGGCTTAAACTAATAAAGATATCATCTAGATATATAGGTGATAAAGATATTTTATGTTAACTAAAGCTGAAGAAATGAATAAACTGATGGGGGAAGCCATCTCCATTGCCAAGAAATAGCATACACTCAGAAACAGTGATCCCTTTATTTAGTGAGTCCAGAAATGACTGCCTACACCATAATTATTCTTTCCATATGTGAGAGAATGCTTCACTGATGGATTACATTTATACAGAGGAGAGAGCATTCATATTGTGACCAACATTTCCTCAATAACACTGTGATTAAACAGCAAAACTAGTTCTCAGCCTGCTATT